TGAGATAACCTATTTGTGTTCTATTCAACTTTTGACAAAAAATATTATAAATATGTATAGATATTTCAACACATGATATATGAAGATAACAACACATTCTGCTAAAATAATTTAAACAACATAAATATAACTAAAATAACACCGATCTCCAACAAAAAGTATAAATAACTCAAGAAACATAGATATAAAGTCATTTATCCTTGAATTGGTGTTGTGTTTCTAGTTATTTTTACAATTTTAAGGAAATTATTGACTTAAAATTACGGTATGACGGTATACCGGTATACCGTTTGTTTCCAAAATATATACCGATACCATACCGAAATAATTCGGTACGGTATCTTACCGTACCAAAAGCGTCGATATACCAAACATTTCGGTAAATTCGGTATTTTTCGATATGGTAAGGCAGGTAAGTCTAGTACCAAAATTTCGATATTTTTCCCCACCCCTTGCATCCCGTAGAAAAATGGCATAAATCTCAGACAAGCAAAATGGCACTTTCAATCATTCCCGAGCAAGTCAAAATAGTAAATGGTAATTGTAAATGATTTCTTGTAATGATACCAAGACTACAAAATTTGAAGCGAATTAGGGCTTTAGAATATATGTAGTACTAGTATATTTTTTCCTCTTCAATAAAAACGGGAAAATTCCTGAGTAAAAACGATTGGGAATTCCATAATAGGAGTGATGTGTTTCCTTCTCTAAATAGGAGTACTTTACCAACATAATGAAAATTTACTCTCATATTTTGACATTACTGAGCTTCAAACATGGCAATATACTGCAAAAGATGCCAGTTTTTTCCTAGTTTAACACTAATTACTCATAGTTAGCGAATAAAAACATAACATTCCTATTGTACGGTTCCCGTACGTTTTTAATCCTAATTAGGGCAATTTCTTATATATAATATGACTAAGAGTTGTAGTCCACAAGCCCAAGATCTCTAAGTGCGTCCGTAGCTGCAGCTTTACAGCTTTTGTGGGTTGACTTGGCCTTCCTAATCAGCTTCTCTATACCATTTGCCAGCAAAAGCACTCTGCAGACGTTGAAAAAACATAATTCCATTTATTTAATTTCTTGCTGAGCCACACATCTTCCCGTACTAGACAACAGGGATAAACAAGTAAATTAGGGAGTGGGGGAGACAGACTTGCCTATTCTCAGGATTTCTGGCCACAAGATTACGGATCATGAAACAAGCATTCCGTTGTAACTGCTCCGATTGAAGAAACCTTTCCATGGATTGGATGGCAAGATCACCTGCCCCAGCTTCAATGGCACGAGCTGCTTTCTCTGGGGATCTCAAGCATAGCACGGTAAAAATAGACATTATCTGTGTCACAAAATATACATATTTTTGGATAATTTGTAGTTTTATAGAATTTGCAGCATGACCATAATGTTTGGATATCATTTACCTCTTGAAGTACAGAAGGATCATTAGAAAACTGCATTGATAGTCTAATAAGCCTATCCATTCCTCTCTTCTCCACTATCGCACATTTGTTTGCATCACTTCCTGCTAACTGGTCAAGCTCTAACAGATTAACTTTTCTTCATGTTCCAAATACAATTTGAATTATGGCCCCCATAATTATTTAAGAATATATAATACAAACCAACACAAGGGAACATCAAATGCTTGTCACTTTAAAATAAAATAAAAACATACGGCAGAGCAACAAGTGCCAACATGACAACATCACATACATGTCACTCAACCTTCTTTTGGTCAAGGTAAAATAGGAGAAAAAGAAATAGAAGAGAAATAAAGAACTATTCTTGTTTTGGGAAAGGAGAAATATGAGAGAAAAGAATACATTGGGTCCTATGTTCTATCTATTCCTTCTCTCATACAGAGATACACAAATCTCCCCCTGATTTATACTTGTTCCTTCTTCGTTTCTCTCTTGCCACAAAACGTACAAAATCTTAGTTTTTCGCTAATACTTTTCTTTGTGCATCTCTTTACCATATACTCCCTCCGTCCCGGAAACAAGTTCCCGGGTTGACTTTCACACATTTTAAGGAAATAAAGTTACTGAGGGGTAAATTTTACTGTGGCACTGTTTCGACACTGTTTAGCATTGTTTCGACACTGTTTGGCACTATTTTGCACTGTTTGGCACTGTTTTGATGTAGGATAACTTTCCATTTAGGGAAATGGGAAGTTTATTTTGGGACATCCAAATAAGGAAAGTGGGAACTTGTCTCCGGGACGGAGGTAGTATTTCTCTCTTCTATGTTTCTCCCTAATCCAAAGTCCAAACAATGGCTTATAGATTTGAAAGCATAATGAGAAACACTAAAAAAGTATGTGTCTCTGATATAACATGAATACAAAAAAGAGGTTCACCAACTTCTGAACAAATGTGCCCCGGGAAGTAATGTGAACCAAAGAGCAACAAAAAACTAGAAACCATGCTTAGTATTAGTACCTTACATAACAAAGAGCAACAAGTTCTAGCTAAGGTTTGATTTCCTTGTTGTCCACTATCATCAATACAAGAAAGAATTACATCTATACCACCATTGTCAGCAACAGCTCTGCATATTTCTTCCTGAAAAGAAAATGCGGAAGGGGGGGAAACAGTTTCAGTAGAAAATTTGAAATCATTTAGCAAACAAGGATTTCAATATATATGTTTGGACTTTGGAGACCAAATACAAGTTTTCTAACTAACAACTTCAGATGAAAAAACTTACATTAACAGCAACCGATTTCAAAGCATTGCATGCTGACAACATACTGGGTGACCTGATCCCCTGACTGAGAGATCCCACAAGCGCTTCAACAACTCCAATCTTTGCAAATCTTCGGGCATAGCCAAAAACCTATTATTCGGAAACAGGCACCAAAAGCTAAACAAAGTAACTAAACAAGTGAGAGCTCTTCAATCTTAACCTTTTTTTCTACTTATGATGGGAGAAACTCCTACATAGACTACTAGAGGTATAATTAAAAAAATATTTTACTTACTTGTGAAGCTATCACACGGTTATCATCAGATGTAAGCAGGATTTGAATGGCATCATATAAACAAGGAGTGCCCCCACTTGTGTGTTCCCTCAGGCACTGAACGATTAATTCATCGATTTTCAAGTCCATAAATAAATCTTTGACAACCTCATTACCAGTTGCAGCTGCCGCAATGACAGAAAATCCACTATCCAAGATGCTCACATCTTGGATCTTATCATTAAGGATACCTACAACAGCTTTTGCTCCACCACTCTCCCTAAATATTTCTGTGCTTTGAAGATCTGTGAATAGAAATACAACAGGCACATGTAAAAATGAAGTGCATGAATTTAAAAAGTTGGTGCAATGTGTAAAGTGAAAACCATACGGTTTCCCAAATAAATAACCCAACAAGAAGCTTTAGGCCTTTAGGGTCTATTTGGAGTTTGGACGAGGGTTTTGGAAGGATATGAGGGCATAGTTGTCATGGCGCATGGCGGCCACCATGGCCCAAAGGCATTTTTCATGGCGCATGGCGATGGCGCATATGGTGCTATGGCGACGACCACTTTTTCATGGTGATGGCGCATTTGGCGCACGCCATATCTCGCCATTGACTACTATGTATAAGGGTGAGTCTATATTATGATTTATAAATTATTTATAGAAGCAAATAAAAGACGATTGAAATGTTATGTGATCATATATTATGTTAGTTCATCAACTTTTGTAAGCTATTCAAGTACATATCAAGACATAGACTAATCCTCCTAAAGACTTGTCCTCCACAACCCCCATCCAAACAGACTCTTACTTTCTTAGACCAGCACCACTCAGATAGATGCATAGTTGTTCCTGTTAACTCTAGAAAGAGATAAACTCCTAAATAACCACTTTAAGAATGGTGAATAAAGATCCTATTAAATTAAATTAGAAGAACATACTGAATGCCAATCGCTGCAAACAATGATAAGCAAGCCAATATAGTGCACTTGATGTAATTAAAAACATTTAGAAGTCAACTAGAAGACCAGGCAATATTTCCTTTACGGCCTAGCTGGATGAAGGACTTTGGAGGGGATTGGAAGGGAAGGCTTTGGAGGGCTTAGTCTATATTTTGATAAGTAGAATATCCTATCATATGTGATGTAAGTATATTTTAATTTTTATAAAATCTCAAATATGTGAATAGACATAGACTATGTTCTGAAAGTATTCCTTCAAAACGTTCCAAAACACCCCATTCAATTATCCAAACAGACCCCACAGTATCGCTTAAAAAGTTGAGAATCGCTTAATGAGGCAGTAAAGCTCATACCATGAAGTAGCTTAGCCAATGTCCTGAAAGAAGATATCACACCCTGGTTGCATCCACCTGGAAGCTTCAACAAAATCGAGCATACAAGTTGCACTCCGCCATTCTTAGCAGCAATGGCTACATTACCCGATCCTTCATCAGCGCACAAATCATTCAACCTACCCAACAATTCCATAATTTCATTCAGATCATCATCGCTGTTGAATGTACCAGCCGATTCAAGATCCAACTGCTTCAACCGCTCGATCGTATGAATAACAGGATTGCTATTCCCGGAACTCTCCCCAGGGACGCAAGTGACAATCCCTACCGGACAGAAAAAGACATGTTATCCAATATGCATTGTTCGTTAGGGTGGGTGATGAAGGGGCGTGAAGTAGAATACCTGAAAGATCGACGCCTTGGAGAGTTAGGGTTTCAATGGCGTCTTCTAGAGCTTCAGTGGGACTCATCCCGATATCTTCTATGTTCTCCTTCACCATTTCATCGAATGCTTGCTGAGATACTGTGCGTACAGACTTCGGTGGCCCCATTGTAATCAGAGATCTCCGGTGCAATAGAGGATTCAGACCAGTACAGTAGAGTGAACAGTGAGGGGTGGATAAAAGTGCGGCTGTATAGGAAGGGGATTGGAACCAAATGGGACCGGAACCGCGCGGATGGTTCCGGACTTCTTGTTCCAGCTTTCTATAACAGGAAAGGCAATCAATCTGGTAATGAACTGGTTCTTGTACAGGTACGGGTTAAGGTGACACTGTTTGGATGCCGTTTCAGTTTAACCTTATTTTGCGTCGTTTTGTTTAATGTTTAATGAGAGGCGTTTGTCATGCTGTTTTTCTGCTTACGGGCTTTTCAGACAACTTTTTCATCATATACAGTAATTTTTATTTTCGTACGTCGAATTGTGTCATAATAAGAAAAAGTAAGGTTGGAGTTACTTTTCTGGTTGTATTGACTGAAATTGCTGTAAATGACCATTTTAGCTATTTTTACATATAATTTTTTCTCTATTTTATTATTAAAATATATTTCAAAAATAATTTTTTCTTAAATCAGCAGAATCAGCCAGAATTTCATAAATTTTAGCAGAATCATCCGAATCGACCTATTTTTGTGTTATCCAACGGGCTCTAAATAAGAAAATGGAATATTTTTAAGGGACACATCGAAAAGGAAAGTTACATGCTTAAATTGAGACGGAAGAATTATTCTTACTTTATCAATTCAATATCAACCACATAAACTCATTTTTCTTAATAACCATGTCACCCCTCATATTTCGATGTTAGTGGGACGGAAGTAATATTAATTATTAAGTCATGGTTTGAATGGTGCCTAGCAAGACGGGTTGTAGTTTTTCCCTAGGGTTCTCTAGGTTTTTTTCCCGGTGAAGTGATTACTCTTGATGCCGGCAGAGGTAAGTTTGATAACCGGCTAATATTTATTAATCACTACTATCACTAATACGGCGGCGGAGCATAGCCTAAGTTAGGGGAGGTTTGGGTTGCGCGAAACTTTCTTCGTCGGCAATTTTAAAGTTTTCAGGATTGTTTTTCTCTCAGCTTCAACGGGCAGACCCTAGGCAGAGGTCTTGCTAAAGGTGCGGGAGGTGGTGGTGCTATGACCAGGACAACAACGAGCAGCGGCGTAAGCACGTACGAGGGGCAACGAGGGTTGGGGAGCAGTAGGTTTGGCAAAGGTTGGAGTTCGACCAGCAATGGAAGATCAATCGAAGCAGTACTGATGGTTCGGCCTCCTCCTGAACCGCCGCCATGGTTTGAACGAGATGATAGGGTTCGAGAAATTTATTTTATTAGTTATTGTTATTTTATTGTTTGGATTCTTGCTAAAGTCTACGTTGTTATGGTTACCGGTATGATTGAGAATTTAGCTTATTTTTATGTCGCTAAAAGTATACAGATGGATTAGTGATAGCGATTCGTAGTTAGCGGTTCATGTTGTTCTTTCAGGAATGACCATTTCCATGTCTAATCGTAAGATTTACAGTTGTAATTAGTGGATGTTAGTTGGTGTCAGGTATGATTTTTCTTTGATTGATGTAACTATTATGAAAGTAATGATATAAATATGGGCAATTTTTTCAAAAGTTCAAAAAAATCATGGTTCGAATAAGACAATATACAACGAGGAAGAAAATCAACTCAGACATTTCAAGTTTCAACCACACATAGAACTCGCAGGCTTTAGCAAGGCTGTATGCAATTTGGGTTGATCTCTCCATATATGATTAAAAGTGATATCATTAAAAGTATTAGTTAGCTTTGGAATGTCATCCACTAGAAATCCAAAAGAAGAAGAGACACATCAACCATTGATTAAATTAATTGCCTTTAGTGCATTCGACTCTAAATCGACATGATCCCAGCTGCTTCCTTTAACCGGCCAAGAGCTTCCCGGATCGACGCAGCTTCTGCTTCTTTTGGAGAGTATCCCCGCCTTTGAATCGCCCCTATTTTGTTTATCGTAGTTTATTTCCTCGTCAACTACATATACTTATTCCTTATCAGAATTACAGACAGGGGCGGACCCAGGAAATTGATATTGGGGGGCGATAATTTAAAAAAAAAAAAAATCTAGGCGATTATTATTATAAGTTATAACCTTAATATAATACGGAGTTGTAATTAAATGAAGCATTATAATAGAAGAAGAGACAAATATATTATTACAAAATAGTTAAAGTTAGTACCTTAGAATTGTACCCAACGCTTCTTCAACGAGATAAATTCCTCAATCACGGCTTTTTAGTCAAAAGTTTTAGCAATTTCTCTTTCAATATAAACAATAAGGTTGTCTGCAACATACTCATCCTCCATTTTATTGTGAAGCCTTGTTTTTATAATTTTCATTGCGGAAAAAGTCCTTTCGGTTGTTGCTGTCGAAACCGGTAGAGTCAACAAAAGTCGGATCAATTTATCAACAAGCTAAGAAAGTACACTTTTGACATCTCCGTCTCCGCTAATCTTTGACAAAGTTCACCCATTGTAGAAAAATTCGCCAACTTTGGATGGTTTAGAACATTGAGCTTATAATGTTGCAATTGAAACCTCAAGCTCACCTTCTTCTGCTCAATAAAATCAAAGGGGTAATATTTATCCACTAAAGAACAGATATCATCAATGTTAAAAGACTTATATGAGTCCTTAGGATCCAAAGCACCATTAAGAGTAAGAAGATCCATTATCTGTTCACCGAATCTGCTATTCAGCTCCAACAATTATGAACCTATGGCTGCGTAAAACATATCAACCCGATAGTGACGTTCAATATCAAACCCTTCTTGATCATGGCGTTTGCGTTTTACCGCATAAGGAGACTTCATATTAGGAATTTCAATTCCATGCTTTGTGCAAAACTCTTTAACAATTTCTAAGAAGTTATCCCATCCACCCTCCATTAACTTTTGGATCAACATTTTGGTGCTTGACACCAAATGCATAGCATTTACTATGTCTTGGCACTTCTTCTGTATATGCTGACATAGAAGATCTGTAATGCCCATAATTTCTTTAATAAGATGCAACAAGAAAACAAATTCAAAAGATTTAATCTTCTTAAGTTCTCTAGCTGCATTTCCACGAGTAGAATAGTTATTGTCATTCTCTTCAACATCTTCTAAAACAGAACAAGTTGCAGCAAACATCCTAATCAAACTGCAAACAGAACTGAAATGTGAGCTCCAACGAGTTTCCCCAGCTTGTTGTAATGTACCAACCTAATTAAGTCCTCTGCTTGTTTCAAGCTCACCAATTTCCAACATTCTTGCAATTTCAAGTGCTTGAGCTTCCTTTAATTCATCACTTCGTTTGCAAGAAGAATTAGTCACATTAATAATAAAGACTGAATCGATGAAAAATTGTGCACATATTTCACCTCTCTAGAAGCAGCAACCAATGTTAATTGCAACCAATGTTAAGCAATGAACATAGTAGGCATAAGGACAATCATTTAAAAATAATCGATCTTTCCGTTTCTTTCTTCTAGGTGCGCATGTTTTTCATTAGTTTGGTCTGGGCAGTGGGCTGGGATTAGATTTTGGGGTGGGTTAATGGAGAATAAATTTTGGAGTGAGTTGATATAATATTACTTGTAAAATTTCTATTTTTTTAGGCTCTTAAACAATTGGGTTTCTGCGAGTGGGCTATGCTTTGGGGGAGAAAATATTTTTGGGGGGTTCAAAATTTTTCTTGGAGGGGCGAGAATTAAATGTTGGGGGGTAAAAATAAAAATTTTGTATATATATATATATATATATATATATATACTAAAAAATTGTTGGGGGGGGGGGGGCAGCCCCCCTGGGTCTGTACTACGGTCCGCCCCTGATTACAGACACCAAATTGTATATAAATTTAGAAACATTTAACAAATCAATAAAGATGCACACAAACTCAAATATAAGACAATTGATACATCACACACAATGTCACAACAAATCTTAATTAGTAGGAAAAAACCGTGAAAAATACGCCAAGAATCCAAGATTGGTGTCAATTACAACACTATGACTGAGTTTAAAGTCAACTAGCGCCTTACGAAGATAGAAAGTCAGTGAGAGCATCACCGCCCCGTATTACAAAAGTTCATTGTGTTGTCATAGCGAATTAGAAAAAGTGTAATAAATAGGAGTGAAAATATGTAAATGTATAAAAGAGCAGATATAAAAAAGAGAAAATGTTAAAATATGAAAGATAGGATGAAAATGTAAATTAAAACTTATTGAGAGTGTTTTCTAAATACCAAAAGTACTACATCCATCTTCCAAATTCCCGATGAGGTTATTGATGATATACATGCGATGATGGCGAGATTTTAGTGGGGAGCACAGGGGGGAGAGAAAATACACTGGTTGTCTTGGGAAAAACTTTGCAAACCCAAAAGTGAAGTTGGTATGGGTTTTAGGGACCTTGCAATTTTTAATCAAGCCATATTAGCAAAGCAAGGATGGTGGCTTATGAATAAATCTAGCTCGATTGCTGCGCAAGTACTCAAACAAAGTATTTCAAAAATGATGAATTTGTGGAGGCAGCAAGGGGCTATGATCCTAGCTACACTTGGAGGAGTATTTGGGGAGAAAAATCATTACTATTGGAGGGTCTCATGTGGTGGGTAGGGAATGGCTTAAACATTAAAGTATGGGAGGATACATGGTTATTTGGGTGTCCACCAATGAAAATATCCATCTTGAACCTGAATATCCATGGAAAAGTCACATTACTGAGGTACCTTTCTGTACAATTTGTTTTGAGTCGATTGAAACACTAATTCTTATGTTTTTCCTGCAAATTTGCTAGAAAAACATGGCAAGATGAAGTCTGGGGAAAGATGTTTCAAGAGGCGCCTTTAACTTCATTTGTTGAGGTTCTTAATTGGGTGATGGAGCACATGTGGAAGGGGCTATATGGTTTTATAACCAGCTGTTGGGTGGTTTGGACGTGTCGAAACAAAGCTATATTTGAACAAAGTGAACCAAAAGTGGAGCTAATTAGAGCGGGTTTCCAATGCTATGTTGAGGACTATCAAAAATATGCTACAAATGTCTATAGTGCTCCAAGCTGATTTTCGGGACTAAAGTATGAGAATGAGAGTAAAACACCCACCGAATTCATAAAAGTGAATTATGATGCAGTTATCCTTAAGGATGGTGGAATTAGATTGGGAGCTGTTATACGAGATGAACATGGTAGAGTGCTAGCAGCGAGAGTTAAAAGGATGAAGTATGCTGGGAGGCGGGTTTGGCGAAGTATACAACATGCGCATTTGGTATGAGTTTGGCAAATCAAATGGGCTTCAGAAATATTTTTTTGGAAAGTGATTCTTTGAGCTTCATCATAGCAGCAGAGATGAGGAATGCGGATCACACTGCCTTTGGAATTCTCCTGGATGATATACTCTATATTAGCTCTCAATCAGTGGCGGACCCACTAAGGGTCCCACGGGTCCCGGGACCCCATGCACTTGCAAAAGTTTACCTATATATATTATATATATCTTTTACAAAATTAATGTATATATGTATAAAATAAACTAATGCGACTAAATGCTAAAGAACTGCAGCTGAGGAACGGGAGAAGACGCGGGTGTTAAGTACATCCATCTCGTGAGGTTCCGGGTTCGACTCCCCTATGCGAACAAGATTTCACTTTTTCTAACACCTTTTTTAACTCTTTATTTGGCCTTTAATTTTAAAAGACCAATTTTGGTTGTTTTATAAACCCCTACTACACTAGCGTTTTATTTTTCAACACTTTATTTGGCCTTGATGATAAAAAAACACTTTATTTGGCCTTGATGATAAAAAAACACTTTATTTGGCCACTATTCTAAAAGACCAATTTTGGTTGTTTTTAACCCCTACTAAACCTTAACTAGGACCGTAAGCGAATTGAATAATTTCAATTCGATTCACGATTTAGATTCGAAATTGTGAATCCTAATTCAAAATATTCAAATACGAATTAGTTTTAGTATTCGAATAACTTTCGAATACGAATGTACATGTATTCAATTTGTATATTATTCAAATGCATTCAAAGTACCCCTGCTTTTTTTTTGAAATCTTTATTCTAAAAGACCGAAAGGTCGTCATTTTGGCCTTTTTTAAAACCTCTACTATTCCCTAACTAGGGTGGTAAACAAATCGAATAATTTTGATTCGATTCTCGATTTAGATTTGAAATTGTGGATTTAAATTCAAAACAATCTAATACGAATTAGTTTTGGAATTCGAATAACATTCGAATTCGAAACGAATATACATGTATTCCTCTTGAATTCAAATTCGAATTCGTATAGTATTTGATAATATTTTATGTATATGTTTACGAACTATATAGTAGTATATTACATTATTATGGTATATTCCATCTGTAAACATATGTCTGAAAATAAAAATAAAAAGTATGATACATCATAATTTGAATTGGTGAAAAAATTGGCATTTAAAACATTCGAATTTAAATATTCGAATACAAATCAAATAGGAATATGTGTAACGAATATAATACGAATAGAATTTATTATTCGAATATTAAATGAATATGAATACAAATATTCATCAAATTATAC